TCGGATGACTGGTCCCTATATTGTGTCCGCGGATCAAAGTAGACCTCGGTGTCACTAGTCGAATGTTCACTTTGAACCTGATCACTCGTGGGCGGAACTGCGGCACCACGCTGCGGCACTGTGGTGTCAACACGGACCGAACACTCGCGTTCGCTCTCACTCTCGTCATCCGCGTCGTCGTCGAGACATGAACGGGGGCGACACAGTTTCAAACGCGCTACATTCACAATGTCCCTCTTCCTTCCGCTGCGGTCCACGACCTCCCAGTTGTTCTCCGCTACTTGTCGAAGGAGACGAAATGGTCCATGGTAGCGGTGGAGGAGCTTTGTTGTTTTGCCCCTCGCTCGTGAGGGCGTCCACACGTAGACGAATTGCCCCGGTCGAAACACAGCACCCCGTCGTCGGGCATCGTACACCCTCTTGTTTTTCGTTTGCTGGTCCCTCTCGCGCTGAGCCACGAGCTCCCGAGCTTGGCGAAGCCTGCGCGCCACTGCATATGCATCGAAGGCACCCTCATTGTCACGTTGCAGGTTGAGGCTCGCATCTATGGACAAGGTCGGCTCGCGGCCATGCAACAAGAAAAATGGCGTGAAGCCGGTTGTCTCATGCTGCGAAGAGTTGTAACCGAAGACGACATAAGGGAGGAATTCGTCCCAATCCCGGTGGTCTGTCGAAACATACATACTGAGCATGTCCGCAAGCGTACGCGACAATATATAGGCGAAAAATGAGAAAAATGGGCATGCGTAGAAGGGCTGCTTTGTTGAAATCTTTGTTGAAAGTCAGCGATCTTTTCTGTCCTTGTTTTTTCGGTTCCGTAGTTACGAAGTAACTACTTCTAGGTTGCGCTGTTCCTGCATTCAGTTATGTCCTACCAACTTGCCCAAGCTTCCACGCTTCATATCGTCTGAAAAGCGCTCCCTTTTGCAAACCGAGACTCTGCAACGAGTGCAGTGACCTTTGTGCGCCCGGTAACTGCAACACTATAACAGAATTGTCCCGGTGAAAGCCCAATGCATACGATTGTCCGCACCGCGAGATGAGTGGGAGCACGCGGGAGCGTCCACCCTGCCCTCTCTCAGTGGGGCAAAGTACGCGTGGGAGATGACAGTGCGCGCCGCCGCATCGTGACGATCTGGCGACGCTAAAGTACCTGGATAATTGTAGGAAAGTACCGCAATCCCTTTAACCAAGCCACCGCACCACGCACCCTCCTCTCCCGCCTCTCGGGCCGCCACGAGCATCGCGCCTGTTATCAGCGTGACATAACATGCTTGATATGACAGTAGCGCGAGCCGAGTTATAGGGCCTGCGCCCGCACGGTGGCCGTTCGGGAGAGGATATAGATAAGGCTTTCGACACTTGTGAGAGGAGGGTTGGACACTTTGGAGAGGATATGGAGGAGAGTTTCGGTACTTTCTAGGCGACGCACGCTCATTGCGCCATCTCACTGGAAAAGCTGAAAACACTATAGTCCGCCCCCCCCCCCCGCCCCTCCCGGATGCGCATCACCAGCGGTAAGTGGTAGTTATAAACAGCTTGCGTTTGAGCGTTGGTGAGGGTGCTCCTTCGTGGCTCAGGAGCCAACGCCTGAGTGGCTAACGGCGGCAAATTCTAGCTTAGAGTGTCGACATATTTGCTATTGCAATAAAGAACGCTACATGAGTGTTCCTTTAGGCATTGTTACAGAAATAACATGTTTAGTGAACTTGTGCTCCAACTCGCCCAGCAACAAGTCCTTCTAGAGAACCCTGCGCATGCCTGTTATCCACGGAGGCAAATACAAAAAGAACCAACCCATATCGTTTGAAATGCTCCTTTGCAATTGTTTACGGAGGCTTTGTTTCACAAGGAAAAAAAACCAGAGGGAGAGAAAGATGAAGGGGAAAGGGAGGTAAGAAAGAAAACAGATTGTTCCCGTCGACCATGATCATTTTTCGTTTCTTTCATTCAATTTTATTTGTTTGCTTGTGTGTCTCTGATAGCGTCCACAAACCACATGCACTCTGGCGAGACTATGTAATGGACATTAAAGAGCGCAATGCCCAAAACAAAAACAAACAAACAAAAGGTCACGCCGTTGGATACTTCCTGTTATTCAGGATCATGCAAGAGCCTCATTGAGTGGCATTCTTTCCCGAAACACGCGATAACTTGCACACAGCACGCAAAACAGGAAGCCTTGGTAACTTCACGGGATTGTCCAAACGGACATATTTAAAAAGAAGAAGAAGAATGCAGCTGTGGCTGCTGACGTAACGCTGAAGGAAGCTCAAAGGAAAGAACCTCCAAGGAAGCTCAAAGGGACCGAGCACTGGAAGAACGTGTTATTAAATCTTGGGGCAAGTCAAATAAACGGTGAATAATAGATGACATATCAAAGCATAACTTTCGCGATATCAGTAGGACTCATAGTTTCACATCGTGTTTAGAAGAAAGAACAAAAAAAAAACCGTACGTCCCACATCCCAGCGGAAAAGCCTTGAAGGTGTATTGTGGAGTCCATCACTTTTTTGTGCGTAGTCCTCATGCTGCGCTTTTTCGCTGTTTTCCTTCTCGTTTTCCTTCAGCTTGCCCAGCAAGTCGAGTTATAAAGTACGAACCCACTAGTCTGCAAAGAAGTATTAATCCAATGTAGCTGAACGCAGTGCGTATGTAAGGACTTTCCGACACTCCACGCGCGGCTCGTGAACGTAAGTCGGCTGCATGCTACATCACTAACGTATTTCATGCGGACTTTCCGGGCCGAGCTAGGAGGGATAGTTTGAATCTGCCTTCTAACCGCGGAACTGTTACGCCAGGCGTGAGCTGTAATCCGTGGGTTGGAAAAGCTTGCCAGTGAGTATGCGTCGCAGGAACAGGGCGAGCCCCACTGTATGTATACAGTGTACAAAGCATTGATGGGAATCATATGAGTGCGCTGCCGGCGAGGAAGTGAACTGAGGAGGAGCGAAAAAATAAGGAAGGAGGGCGAAGCATAGCATTGTATGGTATAGCAAGGGATAGGGAAAAGAAGTGATGGTTAAGAGGAGGAGAGGGGAAAGTATTACGCATATAAAGCATGGTGTAGCGGGGGTGGGAAAGGAAATTGTGGATGTGGGGGAGCGGTACCAGGTTTAGGAGGAGAGAAAAAAAAAAGGAAGGCGAATTCCGTTAGCTATGCTGTTTTCTTATCTGCGCAACGCTTGTGAGTTGCTGTCCCGATTGTCGTGTTTTGTTCCTGCGATTCCAACCGCCATACTAATAAGAGGGGGCGGGGGCTTCGCTGTGTGATCCGTGATAACAGGGCTCGCCAGATAGAGTGCCTCCGAGATCGAAAGGTGCACGGGGACACTACCACAACGTTTCGTGAATTTCCCGCCAGGGAAAGGGAAGGCGCATGCACCGTGGCACTATGAGAAGGGTGTACTGACGTGGTCGTGGCCTTCTCTTCTGAAACTGGCATGCCGAAAAGCTGCGCACGTAAGAAACACGCACTGCACCGAAGCCACACTGCACGAAACACACACTGCATCGAAGCCAGACCGATAGGCAAATGTCGTACACAGAAACGAACTATGCTGTCTTTGGTGCAGCTTTGATGTAAATGTAGTGACATCCCTGCGGTCGCCATGCTAAGGTACTGCGGCAACAAACTGCTTTCTTGGCGTGGAGTCCACATATAGCAGCGTATCCAAGTCTTTTACATCGACAGGCCCCTTTTACATCGACAGGACAGTCTTTTACATCACCACACTGGTGCGCACATGACGTGGCAGTCTGTGTTTCAGCGACGTCTGAGCTTCTAGCCCATAAAGAATCTTGTCGCCTTCCTCGAACAAACATATGGCGCTAAATCTTGGCGCTGGCGTTCAAGGCCGCCGTCGTAAAAACCTTCACGAAGTGGTCACCCCACAGGCTCTTCCCGAATTACATACGGCTGACATCGGTTGCGTATAAAACCCTTTGAACAGCTAATCGATCCAAGATTCTTCATCATAATCATTCACTGACTGTTTTAGTCCACTGCAGGGCGATGGCCTCTCCCAATGATCTCTATCCACCGCACCTAGAATTATATATCTCGCTATGCTCCTTAGGGCACGCGAAATAGTCTATGGTGAAGATTGTTATCACGATGGCCATAATCGCAGCCAGGCATTTTTTTTGTGGGGTGTGGGTTGCACATTAGCTGATAGCCTTGACTATTTTGGGAAAATTACCTATTCCTGGTAATTATTTCTAAGCACTTCCACCACTCTGAAATACGTCGCAAGACTTGACTGAACAAGACCAACAGAACCGTTTATTCAGCAGTCTTCCTCGGTTCAGAACACCGACAAGAAAGAATAGAGATGATGATGGTTATGTACAAGTGAGAATGATGAAGTACAATAAATATGCTTACAGTATGTAAATTAAGGGATTTCCTAAATACTATTTTATCAATAGTTTCATTTAGAGTTTTGCGATGAATCTTCCCAGTAGTATAATATTGTTATACGGACTATTTCAGGGGGGCGGGCGAACCCTTTTTCCCAGCCCTGAAATCGCGGCACATTGCAAACAACGCTCACGCACGCCGAAGTTCCGCGCCACCGCATTGCTGGTACACGGTGGCAGTGACAAAGATACAGGGCAGATAAAATAAACTCTGTTTATCAAGGCATCAAAAAAAGTGAAGCACACTCTCGATGAATTTAACACAGACAGAAACAAAATTGCTAAACTGTGACACGCACCGTGATCGATGAAAAGCTTGTCCGCGCTTACGCGAATACATATGCTACAGTCTCTTTTAGCCTCCTTTTCGCTACGCCGTCTTGCACTTTTCTCCCTATCTGATTGCTGACACTTTGCAAAACGCGAATCAACCAGTTGCTAATTGCGCAACACCTGTCCAGTCTTGTTGGTATATCGTAGTACGCCACCTAAAAAAAATCATGACTACCCCTCCCCTCTGGATATTGTCTAGATGATGATGACGATGATGATGACAATAGTAAGAACACGTGGCTCACGTTATCCACTGCTGCGCCGCCGTCGACATGGAACGGGTTTGTCGGGTAGTGTCTCGTTCGGATCCTCAGCCGACGAGCACCAACCAAACCGACGCCAACGTATCCAACCTTCGAAGAAAGAGCCGGGCTGGCGTCCACAGTTCGACAAACGGGAACGCATCCGCCACGGCTGCCGCCGATGGCAACAGCCAAGAACTCTTCTGTCGTGAAAGGAGGCCAGTGCCGTTCCCCAGTTTGTTTGGGTACGCACGAGGGGAGGAAAGATGAACGCGTCGACTTGGTCGACTCCGAGCGAGAGCCGTGGGCGAGTGCGAATGACAGGTGATGGCCGAGTCTTTCTGCCGCACACAGCCACTACAGTTGTACGCTCGCAAGGCGTCGTTTTAGATGGCGCGCCGCTAATGTCATTGGCCTTGGGAGACACCCCCTTGTCTCTCGCGAGGACGGTGAGGCTAGACGTTTGCTCTTCCGGAGTATACATACGGCCGCGGTGATTGTTTCCTTTTGCTTGTTTTCGGGGTAAATTTAAGGACATCATTTGCGAAGGCAGTCTCTCAAAGCTTTGCACTTTTTTCCTCGTCTTCTTCACTTACTTTCACTTTACACGTGTGTTTCGCGTCCTCATTACCGTTTCACGTTATTTCTTCTAAAATGGGATTTCATTGATTTTTCCGGAGGTGCAGTCAGAAATTTTGTGTTAGTGCGTGTGTTTTCCTAAGATGCGAAACATGTCATAAGTTCACTTCGGGATGTGGTCTGGAAGTCCCACTACATCGGCGTACCTCATGGTCACGTTGTATGGTTCCTTGTCACCGTCGCCTTCCCGTCACTTTCACTTTCACTTTCACTTTATTTCCTTAAAGACCCCACAGGGGGGGTGTTACATAAGGGGTGGGTTGTACAACAAAGATACAAAAGCCACAGGTTAACATTGCAGATGCATTGACACACTTTGAATAAAACGTGATGGACAGGTGATTGAAACAACATCGTGGGGAAGGTCATTCCATTCTTTGGCGGCGCGGCACAGAAATGATGCAGAAAATGTTGAGGTGCCAGATCGGGGTCGGAAGACTTGAAGTGGATGGCCAGTGCGGGGAGAAATGCGTGCGGCGGGAGCGATGTAAGCTGGTTGGTGGAGTGAGCTGTGATACTTGTGGCACAGTGATAACGTAGCAATTCTGCGGCGAAGGGAAAGACTTAATAGACCGGATTCATTTTTAAGGGATGAAACACTGACATCGTAAGAATAAAAAGAATGAATGAAGCGAGTGGCACGATTTTGCACTGCTTCGATAGCGTTGATCAGATAAACTTGTTGAGGGCTCCAGATGGGTGATGCGTATTCTAGTTTGGACCGGATTAGCGACTGATAGGCCACAAGACGAACGTGATACGGTGAGTGACGTAGGTGACGTTTTAGAAATCCTAATGATCGGTTGGCTGATGAAATCATGTTAGTGATATGCGTTCGCCAGGAAAGATCAGGGGTTAATGTTACACCAAGATACTTATAGGATACGACTGTTTCGACTGGCATGTTAGCAATTTCATAGGAAAATTGGAGTAGGTTTTTGCGGCGGTGGAAAGAAACTAATTTGCATTTGTCAGGATTAAGGGTCATAAGCCAATGGTCACACCAGTTTAATACTTCATTAAGGTCATTCTGTAGTGCTGCTTGATCAAATGTGTTGGTTATTTTGCGGTAGATGACACAATCATCTGCAAACATACGAAGGTTGCAGGATAAATTGTTAGGTAAGTCGTTAATGTAGATTAGGAACAAAAGCGGGCCAAGGACAGATCCCTGTGGCACTCCAGACTTAACAGGAAGCGAGTTAGATTTGACGTTGTTAACGAAAACAAACTGAGAGCGGTTAGTCAGAAATTGAGCAATCCAATTAAGAAGTTCAGCTGGTAGATTTATTTGAGAGAGTTTTTTTAGTAGGCGCTGGTGTGGAACTTTGTCGAAAGCTTTAGTGAAGTCAAGAAAGATAGCATCAGTTTGGAGGTTACCATCGAGGTTAGCATGCAAGTCGTGAAGGAAAAGGGCTAGTTGGGTTTCGCATGAGCGGCCTTTTCGAAATCCGTGTTGAGAGGAATGAAAGAAATTGTTAGAATCAAGAAAATGCATGACATGAGCGTATATTACATGTTCCATGAGTTTGCAACACACGCTGGTTAATGATATGGGGCGATAAGTCTCTTTTACCTGTCTTGTGAACCGGAATGACCTTCCCACACTTCCAGTCGAGAGGCAGAATACCTGAGGAAAGTGACTGGGAAAACAGCAAAAACAAAAACTCGGCTGATATGTGCTTTGTGTTCTTTAACAGCTTGGATGTAATTTCGTCGGTACCCGCCGAGGATGACAGTTTCATTTTTTCTATTAAAGACAGGATACCATTGAAACCTATGTTAAAGGGTGGCATTTCAGGCAGATTAACAGAGACTAATTCTGTTTCAACGGGGTCAGATTCATTCGTAAACACAGACGAAAAGGCGGCATTGAATATATTGGCACATTCTGAACAACTTAATTCTTGACCAGTATCATTAGTAAGGGTGATGGGGGGCGTGTTAGGAGGATTTATTATTTGCCAGAAACGCTTCGGTGAATCAGCAAGAATTTTCGGAAGTTCCGTATGAAAAAATGAGTACTTGGCGTTGCGCACTTCACTTGAATATGCTTTCTCGGCAACCTTGTATTTTTCCCATGCAGAATCAGTGTTTTTATTCTTCGCAGCCCGAAAGAGGCGTTTCTTCTTATTTTCAAGCCTTTTTAATGTTTTAGTAAACCAAGGTTTTTGGCGGGTGGGACGAAAGCTTATTTTAGGGATAAATTGGTCAGCTAGCTGGTTTAACTTGTTTTTGAAGATTAACCAGTTATTGTTAATGGGTCGCTCCCAGAAACCATCACGGAACGTCGGAAGAAAAACTTCAAGTTCTCGAGTGATGGCCGCGTAGTTACCCTCGTCATATAACCTAATTGTTTTAGTGCGGGCTTGGCGCATTTGAGGAATGAAGGTAAAATTATAGCGTGAATGACCTTATGGTCACTTATTTCATCAAGATATGTTATAGAAGAAAGGCTCTCAGGATCAGTTGTTAAGATTAGGTCAAGAATGTTAGCAGTATCTCAAGTAACACGTGTAGGTTGTGTTATCAACTGAGTGAGAGTAAAGTTGAGGCAAACATCAAGGAAATCGCTGGCCTCCTTTGCATTGGGTGCAGATGAAGTTAGATTACACCAATCAATGTTAGGAAAATTGAAGTCCCCCAGGAGGAGGGCGTGAGCATTTGGGTATTTGGTCGTAAGTTCGACTAAAATACCATTAAGCTGGCGCGTGAAATCCGGACTACTTTTGGGAGGCCTATAACAAACACCTAATAGTACGGACTGTGGTACGGAACGAAAAAGCAACCACAATATTTCTAGGTCGGAATCAATGTTTATAACACGTTAAAGAGCCCCAGGTGGTCTAAATTTCCGGAGCCCTCCACTACGGCGTCTCTCATAATCATGTAGTGGTTTTGGGACGTTAAACCCCACATATCAATCAAATCAATCAATGTTTATAAGGGAGCATGAAAGTTGTTCGTTAGTAGCAATCAGGACGCCGCCGCCCCGGGTGCCGGGACGATCTTTTCGAAAAAGATTAAAGTGAGGCAAGTCGGTCAAAATTTCGCTGTCGGTGACGTCAGAGGTCAACCACGTTTCAGTTAGTATAAGTAGGTTGCTGTTAGATGAAGATACAAGGTCAGACACGTGGTCGCGTTTGGAAAGATAGCTACGTATGTTGGTGAAAATGACCGAAAAAGAAAGATTGGTTGGAAAGATTGACCATCGCATCGTTACTGCAGTCGACCACTTCACATAGTTTAATAAATTAATTTACCCAGCACCTCAATCACTGTTATAGACGCTGGACGACCGGACCAGACGACGCCAGAGGAACCGTTTATTCCGCCGTGTCCAACCCGTCCAAAAGATATGAAGAAAAAAATTAAGAAGAATAGTGATGGCTATGCAGAAGTGCGAATGATGAAGCCCGTCAAACGTGCTTACAATATATTGACATTGGACGACTTTCTTTTCTGCGTTAGAGCTCTATATGCATGGTCAGGAGGAGGTGGAAAATTGTTATAATATTTGAGGCCACGAGGGCGCAGAAACAATAGTGTAAAAGCAGTGCTAGCATGTGCTACCTCGAAGGCTCATCGCACATGCGCTAGTTTCTCTACAGGTTTTTGTCAGCACATATATAGATACTCATAATAACCGCTTCGGCATGAATATCTGCCCAATGTAACCTTTAGGTGTCGTGGATGTACTCTGAATGGCAGACGTGCCCCGCCGCAGTGGTCTAGTGGCTGAGGTACTCGGCTGCTGACCCGCAGGTCGCGGAATCGAATACCGGCTGCGGCGGCCGCATTTTCGATGGAGGCGAAAGTACATGCAGTAGGTACCTGTGCTCTGATTTGGGTGCACGTTATAGATCCCCATGTGGTCTAAATTTCCGGAGCCCTCAACTGCGGCGTCTCTCATATTCATATCGTGGTTTTGGGACGTTAAATCACAGATAATAATTAATTTAAAACTGACGATGGATGGATGGATGAATATGGCTGTACCCTTTAGATCGGTCGGTGCCTAGCGCTGTCAAGCCATAATATTTATTGAACCAAGAACTAGATTTATTTTTTCCTTTAAATAGAGGGGTTGAGGATTCGTACTTTGCAGTTAAGGGTTTAATTTTCACTCGTGCCTTGACTTTAGCCACCAATCAGATAACCTCCTCCTAGTTAATTCTACCCGCTTAAAGTCTATTTTGACCTCCCTGTCTCTAAACCCCAGTGCTTTGAAAAACTCTGCGCCATCATCCTGAACTATGAGATGAAGCCCTTTACGGAACATTATCAAGTGTTCGGCACTTTCCTCTTCCTCTCCACACGCACTGCATACCGTGTCTACCCCTTCGTATTTGGCCCGATATGTCTTGGTTCGCAATACGCCCGTCCTGGCC